AGACAATCCATGCCAATGCATTCGACTTAATAAAAAGCACCAGAAATACTCGCACCCGGTTTTGTTCAGATTCGATTCTCATATAATAGCTGAACAGTTGAAAGAATCCGGGCAGCTAATCTGCGCGCTTACGAAGTTTAGAAACGCTCGTATAGTCTCAGATAAGACCATCAATCAAAGACTTACTCAAAAACTTACCTTGAACGAAAATAAAGGCGTTGAGAACATAACAAATCACGATGCATCAGCTGCTGGATCCACTGACGCAACTACCGTATCTCATGTTCTCCAGTACTCTGATTTACCAATGAAGAGTGCTAATTTGCCTATTATGCCTGTAGTGACATCTGATAACCAATGTACATCTAATGACGACACTAATCTGATATTATCCAGTTTACCATTAGAAACCTATAAGCAAATAATTTGTTCTAATGCGACAGCTCTTAAAAACAGTCAAGATTAAAAGGTCTATGCCACGTAAGAAGAATGTATGTACAGAACCTTCTGGTTCTAGACCCAATAACAAAAATATTACGATGGCCCTACCAAATAAAAATAAGACTATACTTCCCGACACCATGCTTTACCCTACGCATCGTAGGGGAGGTTATAAGGGCAGACTTGATTCAAATGTCTCACAAGACGGCCACTGCAATCATTATGTAAGCAGGCCTAATATTGTGCAGACCACAGTGAACCAACGTGCCCCACGGTTACCCTCAAACGTTTTGAATAATAAACCTGTAAGACGTAACTTTTCTCAACACTTTCCCATTGGGCAAGATGGACTACTAGGTTACTCACATCAACCCAACCCCAACTAGCAGGTGCTTGTCTTAACTGTCCGCCTAGTCAAGTTCAACAAATTAATCCACTTTATCAAAATAATGATTTTTTGCCTTCAGAAATCCCTGGTCCCACTAGCAATACAGTTTGTTCAAGCGATAGCCCATATGATCAGTCAAACATAATAAACCACAGTCTATGCAAATCCAAATACACAACATCAATAGGGAAGCTCTCGGCTTTTTTACACTCCATACCCCATTTTTAAACTTATTACTTATCAATGCACGTTCACTTCTGAACAAAATTTCAGCCTTGAGAACATTAGCTTTTTTAGCCAAGCCTTCTTTCATACTTATCACTGAAACATGGTGCTCTCAAGCAGTATCTGATTCAGAATTAAATATCCAGAACTATCGACTCTATCGCTGTGACAGAGAAACTAAGCGAGGTGGTTGCATTATGTATGTTTTGGATACCCTAACAAATAATAAAGTTGAAGATAGTGTCCTGAATAGTTTACCAGAATCAGTCTGGATATCAGTCAACACCCTGAATCATAGTCTACTCCTTGGATGTATATACAGAGCTCCTGATAGTTCGAATAGTGGGAATGATCTTATAATCAATGCATTCATACATGCATCTGCTCTAAACTTTAATGCTAAGGTTATCACTGGGGATTTCAATTATCCTGGGATTAACTGGAGTACCGGTAGTTGTCAGTCATGTAATGATGAGTTCTCGGCAACCATTAACATGCACTGCTGGTCACAGTGGGTTCGTACCCCAACTAGAGGCGATAGTATACTCGATCTAATATTTAGTAGAGATGTTATCCCACTATCTGTAAAAGTATACAATGAATTTGAAAGCAGTGACCATAAGATAGTAGTTTGCGCTCTCCCTATCTATCCCTCTTATAACCGACCCATTCAAAAAACCTGTCAATATAGAGACTATAAGCATGCTGACTGGGACCTCCTGCATTCACTGATTAAACTTTCAGACTGGGATAACTTTTTTTCATGTAATAGTCTCATGGATGCTATCGACGAATTCTATCTGATCATTAACTCTTGTTTAGATTCCAGTGTACCTCTTAAAACGTACAGGTTTAGTAAACCTTACGAATTATATATACCAGCTAAATATCGTAATAAACTAAAACGCCTACAGAATCGTTAAGTCAAACGACTTCACAGCAGTTGCACAAATAACAATAATTTTTAATCAAATTAAAGAGAAACATAGGTTAAAAGCCATTAATGAGGAGATACTAGCACTTAATACTAACTCGAAAGTACAAAACTTAACTCTCCTTTTCAATAAACGCGCTAAAGCAACTCGAAATGTTGATATACCGTGCATCCAGCATAATAGCACTTTTATATACGACTCTAAAACCATGGCCGACCTTTTCAGTAGTATTTTTGCGAATGGTGTAGAAATCATAAGTGGCTCTGCTTCAAGAGTTATGTGCGTGACTAGCAACTCAATAAAATCTATCTCCTTCACATGCATGAAAATTAATAAGGCTATAAATACCCTTAAGCTTTCGAGAGGTCATGGAGTAGACGGGATTTCATCCTTTCTCTACAAATATGGTGGTCCAGATATTCCACTTCTTCTTCTAAAGCTGTTTACTCTCTCTATGGAAACCGGTTCTTACCCTTACTGTTGGAAAACCGCGTACATCATACCACGTTACAAATCTGGAGATAAGACTGACATGAACAATTACCGGCCAATAAATATTACTCCAGTTATTTCTAGGATTATGGAAAAAATTATAAGTGATGAACTTTCCAACTATTTACTTGCTGGAAAATTTATCAATGATACTCAACATGGATTTCTTAAAAATCGTTCTTGCATGACATGTCATTTTGACTTCTTTAATTTAGTCTATTCTCTACGTAGCCAAGGATATCTAGTCTTAGTGCTATATCTGGACATTTCTAAAGCCTTTGACATGGTTAGCCACCAACTTCTTATAGGTAAGCTCGCATCTTATGGGGTTCAAAATCCTTTGCTTGCTTGGCTTGATTCCTTTCTCAGCAATCGATACCAAATAGTTAAAATTAACTCTTCATTGTCTAACGCTGTCCCTGTTAGAAGTGGTGTAATACAAGGTAGTGTCTTAGGTCCTTTGCTCTTTTTAGTGTTTATCAATGATATTTGTGAAAGTTTTTGTGTGGGTAAGCCCCTTCTATATGCAGATGATCTTAAAGTAGTATATTCATTTTCTCCACATGAGCTGAAAAATATGCAAAATTGCATCAGCATGGAGCTTAACAAGGTAGCACAGTGGTGCTTAAAATGGCAACTGGAGCTTAATACGGCTAAATGTGGATGGATATGCTTCGGCGATACATCACTCAACCTAGACATTACCATAAATGGAGAAGTGTTATCTAGGTTACATACAGTAGTAGACTTAGGACTTAGATACTCCCAAGACTTGTCGTTTACAGAACAGATATTGAAACAGACCTCTAAGTCTCAACGTCTAGTACGTTACATAACTCGAAACCTTTATAACATTGAGTTACGTATTTTAATGTACAAAGTTTGTGTTCGACCATTCCTAGAATACTGAATGTTAATTCTTAATACTGCGCACATAAAGGATAAATTAAGGCTGGAATCAGTAAAGAGACGATCTACACCGTATTCTTGGAGCTGACTGTACCTTGACTTATAATTCTAGATGTAATAAACCTGAGCTAGACCCTTTATGGAAGAGGAGACTCAAACTAAATCTTATCTTTTCAAAATACTTAATAAACTATCCCTTACATCCAATCACGTGATTCAATATGCAGAAACTTCTCATTATGAAATCCGTAATTCCTTGTTACTAGTGAAACAAACTTATTCCAAATCATTTCCCTATATGAATTTCTTTACCTGTAAATTTTCTAGACTCTGAAATAATCTACCACAATCTATCTGTACGATAAAACCACTCCCATTATTTAGTCGGTGCATTGATGCATACTGCTCCTCTGAAAATGCATTGAATGTTCTAGCACCTGTAGTTGTATCTCATTCCACAAGTGATATTATAGGAACTATAAATGTTTAACCATCTTTACTAGTGCATTCCCTAAGTAAAACCACCCACTTGCTGTCAATATGTTAACACCGTCCCTAGCAAGTTTAACTAATTCGAATAACATAAACAGTATATCACTGTGTCACATGACACACGCATTTAGGTAGACCTGATTCATATATTTACGTAATTACTGCTTTGATTTTCCGTGCTCTGTGTTTTCGTTTTAATTTCTTTAGTTGTAGATAATTATCATCAATTCGATCTGGCACACGAATTGACCTTAATTACTCCGTTCATAAATCAACAGGCTGTCCATTTAAGAAATATTAAAAATTCCCGGCTGATGCATCGGATTGCTTTAATACATGTACTACCTAAACAATTACTGAACTAGTATACTTAAAACTTTCTTCTACCACATGTTTGTTCTGTACATCATGCCTCTAAACTGGCGTGAATTGTGTAATTATTATTTTCAGAATATATAAATTACTGCTCTAATACGTGTGAAAAACGTACTACCTAAACAATTTTGAACTATAACACTACAAATAATCTAATATATACTATGTCCTATGTATTTAATGTTACTATATATATCAAGCTGATCATGCCTGTTATTATATATAGTCGATGCACCTATTTAACATAAAATTAACGTCCTGAGTGAATGTCACTGAGTTTTTTACTTTAAGTTACAAACCATATTAAGGAAATATGTAACCCATAAGCGTTAAAATAATATTATTATCTTATCACGGCACTTTCTGTTTTTGACAACAGCGATAAACAAGCTAGAACTTTCGGCAAGAGAACAGTTAGCTGAAAATTTCAAAAATAAAACACACAAAATGTTAAATGCTGGAAGAGTTTGCCAAGATCTCATAACTTTTTGAATAATACTCAAGACAAAAAACTGCAACCTCAGTTGCTCAATATAAGCCAGTGAAAGCAGACTATTTATAGGATGCATTTGCCAAATATTTTCGATACTTGCAAAATTATGTCATGAAGCAATAACTGACTAACGGTGAGCCACGTTCACTATTATTCTCATATAAATGTTGATGGTTTCAAAATCAAATAATAACACATTTCACGTTTCATACATTATTACCTCATTTTACACACAAAAACATGGACTTACATAATTTATCGTGAACTACAGTACCAGAGTCGCCTTGATATATGAATCCGTTGGATTTTTTAGACTCAGATTCGGCAGAATGCTTTCTGTCAAATATAGATTGTCCGGGATCTATCTGTGGCCCACTATCCTCGGAATCTTTTCTTCGTGGCTCTTGTATTAGATCAGCATGTGAATCGCTTGAATGGATAGAGCTTTCGCCTAATTTGTTTTTTTTAAACTCATCGATTTCAGCAACTTCTTCCTCTTGGATAGTATGCGTTCCAGTTGTTATACGTCTAACCTCTGTAGTTTTCTCTGATAAAAATTTATCCAACTGCTTAGTAGAACTCGAAAGTTTGGTAGTCGACATATCTTCGGAAATAACGGTGACGTTTGGTGTTGTAAGCTCTGACTGACAAATCAAATTTATATTTACCTTTTTACTACTTACTTTCGGTGTAACATTAACAGATGTGAAAACATAATCCAATGTAGGAAAATTGGATTTAAGGATTGACAACTAATAATTTTGTCGCTTAATATTTAAAGTTTGATACTACTTACATTAACATGGCTGTTAGTAGTTCTCCCGATACTAACTGAAGAACCGTTGAATAGATTGTTAGATTCATCTTTCAGAGCATGTACACGATAGAATAGTATCCAAGTTAATTTGAATGCCAAACAATAATTCACTATTAGGGAAAACAAAATATTACTTCATCGAACTTCTATTAATTTTATGATACAAAAAGACGGGAATCAGTCAGAGACAAAAGCAAATAGATGGATATTAAGATTAAACTACTCTGAGTTTGATTCTCCCCTACTATACTATGTATAGTAAAACAGACAAGTGGATTTTCAGAAGCACTTCAATAATACTTAGCGTCAAATAACTAACAAAGGTTGGTTAACAATAGCATAGGACTCATGAATAATGTTAATGTGACGTTTCCTACATATTTTTTTACGTATACTGCATAATTTCATACCCTAGTAAGAAGGCTAATGATACCTCTTGACTTCTGAAACCACGGTATGTAGAATAGGGTTCGCCCCCCCCCCAGCTAACTAATTGAAAGCCAAGTATTGTAGTCGCTAAACCAACTAAATCCCTACATCCATTGCCCTCAGATAAGCATACATGGAACAAACTTATTGGGTTAGGTGATGGAAGCTATTCAATATGCCTTAAACAGGGAGCGAAGTAACTGAGTGTGTCAAGTACCTCACTTATTCTGGAAGTTTTATTAGCCCTGATGGGTCGGTATCTGACAAAATTCCGAGAAAGATTCAAAAGTCTAGTTGGTTTTCGTCAGCTAAAGGAGGAATACAACACGCAACAGTATCATCTGTTTTACTTTGTGGTTGCGCAATATGTTCTTCAGAAATAGGGGGTATTTGTAAGTTACTAGTACTCGATTACAGACGCCTAAGCGTTCCTCATGCATTCTGGAACCACTGAGTGGAGAATATTGAGTTGAGACACAAAGTAATTCCAGAAAATTTATTAGTGAGATCGAGAATTTCTATCTTCTGTTTGGAACATGTACTACGTACATTCAACCACTGCCTACCTCGAAGTGCGGTGATAGTTGATGTATGAATAAGTTAGAAGAAAGACAGGGGCGCCAAAACTAGAGTGTTGCACTACTCTATCTAGTCACTGACTGCTGAACCGGGTTGTGTGGGTAGATGCAGACTACCTGGGAGATTGCTGTAATGAATGGTGAGACTTGGGTGATATAGTTCAGTCTTTCCCGATATTGCAGTTGCATCCGCTCTTTGTCTTTCTTCACATATTAAATTTTTTAATTATTTCAAAAATTTTGTTCTTATTCCTAGAATCCATATTTTCTATTAAGAATCTTTTCTAATACTACTAATACTGTTACAACCTAAACTACTCTGGCGTCTTACTGTGATAATATGGTGTAGCAACGTGAACTAAAGAGCATGTGCCGGGTTCTACTTCTCGTATGATTAACTGGCTGGATGAGACTAAACTGCAAGCGTTGAAAGTGATAAGGGCAAGACTATAATTTATGAACGAACCAATCACGTGTAAGATAACAGGTCTCGGATTTTGGCGCGAAATCCACTCATTCATTCGGATAGAGTTTTGGCATTATAACTAATATCAGTTCGTGACTAAAACCCTAAATCTAATTTCTAACCCTAATCATCAACTGTAAGTCATAATTCTACTTCCTCACACAGGTTTATAACCCTTATTTGGTCCTGGTTATTAGGTGGACACTCTCAAGGTCAGCCTGGTGTCATACAAAGGTCGTCCACAAATTATAGTCTCACCGTGATAAGTTTTAACGGAGTGAAAAGTGTAAGAACAACTATGTTAAACATTTGATTGAGAATAACGCTCTGGTAAGGAACCGGTTAGTAACAGACAGCTTGTCAGTACTAACAGTGACGAACTAATGACAAAAGTCAGAATTACAGTGGAAACAGGGACAAATAAAATAAGAATACAAGTTTATATAAGACTTAAGTTAGTAGCACAGAGGGATATATACCACTGAAAAATATCGATCACAAGCGTCCGTCTATTGGAGATCAAGAAGTTTTTAGTATCAATCCCAAATACTTGTATTTTAGGATTCACATGTCACATTCAATTGACATTGCAAAATTATTAGCTGGTTTTAAAATCTGTCAACAGCACTTCAAACAACTGATAGATTTATTACCATACTAACTTCGCAACTAGTTGACGCAAACTGATTCTGTGCTTGTGTATTGGTATTAGGCGACTTTTCCAGACCACTGATGGCATAGTGTGGTTAGTTGAGCAATCCTTACTGCAATATACACAGAAAATTCAAAACGTATTGAAGACGGTATTCAGTAAGTCTGTATATTACAATCCAGTCTTCTTTCAACGCCCTCTACGGAGGCTGCTTGTGTCACGTCAGTAGCGAAGGCTTTACATGCACCACATACACTAATGGGGAAATGTGGGGTTAGAGTTGTGTCCAATGCTGGTTGCTTCTCTCTTAACTGCAAGATCTCTTCTGATTGTACGTTTCTGTTCCCCCCATTATTATTATAATTACACTACCTTACACTAATCTGTTCAACATTGTTCTTTTTTAACGCTCCTCACCTTTCATTTTTTGTCTCGTTCTTCTCTTCGAATTCTCATTGTTTTGTGTGGCACATATATATTTGGTATCCTCTTGTGCCAAGATTTATGTGTTCAAATAAATAAATAAATAAATGAGAGTTGTGTCCGATTCTCGCTGAGTGACTTTTCGTTACATGAACCGTAGGTCACTGCAGTGACAATCACTTTTAAATAATCAGTTGAGATGGTTTGAACTGCTCAGTATAATCAGAAACATGATGACACATCTTTTAATGAGACACCACCTTGTTGCTATGAGCCATTGACCAGGTGGATCACTTCGAGGTTCCGACAGTATGGATATTTTGTGCTAGCAAGAATCCTGGGCAGCACACCGTCAAATCACCATAAGCAGCGTCTGTAGATATAAAAAATCCGTTGATTTTCATGAGCAAGGAAAGGCAGCCTGGGGTTTTAATGCGTCGAAGTGCCGATAGTTATTCCTCATCTATTCTGCTAACAGCACCCGAGCCTCCAGAAGCTCCCATGAAACACTTTTACGTCATTTTGCGTGACAAGGATTTTTGTGAATGTCAATGAGATTAAAGAGTCTCAAACAGATTGTTACAAAACCAAGACATGGGCGATCTTCAACTCATGAGAACAATTAAATTTACTGAGACTCAGGAATCGGAAATTTCGTCACCGACAGGACATGAGATTCGTGGAACTCATTAGGGACATCTGAGAGCAATTGCAAAAATTACTTACGAAATACATCCACTCATAACTCCAGACGGCATGTGGCAATATCATCTTGAAGGGAATGAGAAATAGCGTGTCATCAGGTGTGTTCTGGCTCTAACACGTCATTAAGCTGTATCACGCTGACAAAACGCTTGTTTTGCAAGACCTCTCAAATACTTGGTAAATAATTTCTATCACACGCAACACTTACTCGCAAAAGTAACGCGGGACTCATACATTGCGCTTCGAAAGTTCAAATAATTCAAATTCTTTTGGACCGAGCTTAACGAGCTTCCGTATCTAGCAGCATTGAATCGCCAATAACTCCATTCAGAAACGTGTGAGCCTCCCATCCTGTTTATCTGTATGAGCCTTGTCTGAATAGTCAGGTAACCTACCAACACAAAGTTTTCCGAGTTGGTAGTTCATATATTTTCCACGTTTTTTTATGATCTATACAGTCTACAATTGGACCAGTTAGCTCCAACTTGCTTTTGTGTTTGATCCTGGCCTGTCCGGATGCGTATGGATTCCAGTAAGCGGCCGGCTTCTGTTGACACGAAATGCTTCGACAGCCGCAGCCGCTACGCGAGACGCTGAGGGCGTAATCTTCACTGACCATCGTCTTCAGTCCTTTTCCTTTTGACTAGTCTTATTACTTGTTGAGTCAATATGTCTATAAACTTTAAGGACCACTTTACAATTTTTCACTCCAGAATATCGTAGTCTGCATGATCAGGGTCCGTATTTTCTGGGATACCTTGCACAGTAATGTTTCTTCCATAAAAGAACACCCTCGGAATTTTACTAATGAGGTTCGGACCAGAATATAGTGTATTAGTCAACATATTTACATCCCTTTCTGATTACAGTGAGCGAGTGTCCCGCAGAACATTTACGTCAGGGGTGTTATTGTACGCTACATAATGTGCTTTTTATCCTTTCCCACGGATAAGCCAATGTAACCACCAGTGACTCGATTCTGGGATGTTTTAACTTCCTGTGTACCCTTCTCAAAGCATCATGTCGTTTGTATCCCGCAAGCTGAGAGGAAGGTCAGATCTATCTCTAATTTGTCAGTTAATCTAAGGAGTGGACTGATCTCTAGTCAACGGTCGTGATCCTAATATATCTACCGGCACACTAGAGAACTTAGGTCGTCCCATAGCAGCGTTATGAATTTGTAAGTTATTACAGACCCTTATGTTAGTCCTTGTTCGGTCTCATGGCAAAGCAGCTAATAAACTAGATTCCACTGAATACCTGAGTCTGGAGATAAACTTAACAGTACCCTTGACGTACCTCTTCCTGCTAAACATGGTTGGTGAAGCCTGTAGGACCTTCTGGAGAAGAGGTCACATAGAATCACGGCACAACTGCCGTGTTGCATTGGTTGTCTCTAAGACTTGTTCTATATTTTGTTTCATTTCCTATCCAGTGTTTGCTGTCCATAGATGTGCCACAACCAAGACTGATCATTCATATTTTTAGTTGATAGATATTTTGCATCCCTGATAAGGACGTTGGTGTGAACCGTTTAGAACACTTGCCTTTTGAGTATGTAGGTAACATTAGGATTTGGTTGATGTGTTTTTATTAGTTATAAATTGTGTTTGTTGGGGTGGCAGGTTTTTACATTAATTTTAGCCTTACTACAGTCTTAAATGTCTTGTTTACCATAGATAAGAAGACACTGACAGTTGTCTGATGTATTTATAATTGAAATTATTGAGTGATGATCGTCTTTGTGGTGTCAATCAATTTCTTTTACTGTTGCAAATATTCAGTTACAATGTTTGTCTTGGCAGATATGAGTAAGTTGTAATGCTCCAATTATTTAGCGTGGTACTCATCATAAGCGTTGATTCTGCCCTTGATTCGTTCATCTATTCAGTTAGTTGGTAGTTTATCACTCAGTTCTTTATATCTTGAAGGAGTAGTCTCTTAGAATAATGATTTCGCTCGGTATTAGTACTACCAGTTTAACTGACGTAATCCCAAAGTTTTAGATTTGTAATGATATAACCACTTAATCTACAAGATCTTACGTGAAAGTCACATCCTTGTCCATAGTGACTCGTCCTACGTGACGATCAGCAAGATGACGTCTAGCATTTATGAAAAGCACATTTGAGCTGGGAAGGGAGTAACATATTCAGTACGAAAAGCAAAAGGTTGTAGTGACCACACCTGCATGACTGAGCCATTGCATTTCGACTGATTCCTCCGGCGTTCACCATTGTTGACCTACTCCTATTGTTACGTGCTGAAATGACTGCTATGCAACCTCAGCCATTATAGGAGTTGACTGTAAAAGAATCAGGGAAGCTCAGAACTCTCTTGAGAGGAACGCAGCGGTTTGGTCTAATCGAATGAAATTTGCTTTGTCAAATTGTTTTCGGCATTCAAACTGCAATATTCAAGTTTTTAGCACAATACATACAAATAGGTGTTAAACATTCAAGTTACACTTCTTTGACATAGGCCTTGTAAAAAAGACAATGTGATGTAAAAAAGAGAAAGAGAAAGAACGAAAACGTGTGATCAAACTATCCGATGAAACATGAAAAATTAGTTGTATTCACTAATCTAAATAATTTAATCGTACAGGTCATGACTGTGGAGAGTGATGACAGTGGCGTCGAGTAGTATTGAGTCCATTTACTTCTATGCCACTCCTGTAGAAAATCGACAGTGTTATATTCAAACCATTATAGCTTAGGTTTTCGTTGATCTCCAGTTAAGCGTTAAAAACTTGGCTTTTCCATAAATAAACTCAGAACACAGAATTAGACGTGGTACGGTTCTAATCCGAAAAATTGCGAGTAAAAATTACGCGGTATTACCCAGGCGAAAGGATCCCCTAGGCTATAAAGCCCATCAGATTGCTCGACAGAACTACTCTGAAATACATCAGGTAGATAAATTACTGAACACCTTAAAGCTAGTCACCTGCCAAATTGCGAAGGTATCTCCAACAAATCGGTTAACAGCCGAATAATTAAACTGTCAGAGTGCATGTAGCTGAACGATTTGTACAAAATCTGTGCAGTCAAGCTATAGTAAACATCTAATAATCGAACCTACAAAGAATATAGTCTAAATGCTTGTCAGAAGAAGAAAAACCTCACAAAATCCAGAGACTTTATTCCAGAGTTAAATGGTAGCTCAACTTAACTGATTTAAGGAGCAACAATGGGACCAGAAAGGAGCAGTATGAGAACCGCCAAGTTTAAAGATCAATTAAAACGAAGTCAACAGCATTGTCAAAATTACACAAATGATGTTGCATGTTAAGATGCGAAGACACTGTGGTTAAAGTAAATAATAACAGTTTCATCTAGGGCCTGACATAAAGAAAATGTAAAACTGAAGGTAACTAGAAGGAAAACATTACACCGAAAAGTCGAACATACGGCTGTTGTTACATAGACATGTATGTGGAGGGACTTTCACCTATATACATGTGTATCCACGCTAAAGCTTACAAAAAGGGTCTTGCAAACGGTTTTGTGAATAATATACAGTTCCATCAGAAGATAGTAAAGTAATCGTTTAGTAATGTTCAATGTGCTATTAAAACAACTCTATGAAACATACAGATAGCTCAACACTGTCAAGTACATAGCCATCCAAATGTTTCGGGGAACTCGTTGTAACAGAAATGTATTGCATGATAGAATTAACTACGTAGAATTTCCTCCACATCAGGCCGAATTAATAACAGTAAGATCCTAAGATACCAATTTTCAGGCACTTAATAGTTGTAATTAATAACCACCTTTTGTTGTACAGTACCTAATCCTGTCAGAGAAGCTTTGGGTCATATTGTGGATGACCGACATTAGTTACCAAAACCTCAGGCGATTAGAGGGACATAATACAATAACAGAGTTATAACTGGAGGACCAACAATATAAATAGAGAAACATTATTATTTAGGTCCGGACTAAAAAATAGTACATTAGGGGCACTACGTTTGCGTGTATGGTGAAACAAATAGTATCATTATATGGAAGTTGTAGAGGTAAATGAATCTTTGAGATATATAGTTTTGGTGCTGACCAATGTTAGTTGTATTGAGTACATGATTATCTAAAGGTCTGTTGAGCATAAGTATACTATATGACGCAACTCGTCTAGTAAGTGGCCAGGTAAGATATTATACATAAAGATACTTTTGCGAACAATCCAAGAACATCTAGTATTTTATTAATCTTGGCTTTTGGTGGCTTTGCAATCATTTCATCAGAAGAGATTCAGGTAGTAGAATTATCATATACCGCGTTTCCGAGACCTGCTCAAAAATGCTCCGGGGGCTTTTAAACACACAAGCGATGGACCAAATTGCGACACCATAGACAATTGTTTCTTGGAATCTAACGGTTTTAATTTATGTCCTGGAATCAGACAAATTTATCAAGCTAAATACCTTACTTGTTCTGAAATCGGCTATACCGAGACTCTCTGTTCAACAGTCTGAAGAATAATTCAGAACATCTTCTGGAAATTACTTCCTGCAACCGGTGTCAGATAAGGCTGCTTATTTTATCTATTTTTTTATTTATCTTGTGGTCAAATGGATTATGGGCAACTCTAAATTTCAGGAGAGGCGCAGAATACAATGGACAGCTGGGATGATTTTAACTTCTCAGGAGACCTAACACTTCTATCCCATCCGCGGCAATAAATTCAGGTGACGACGGTTGGTGTTGCAGCAAACACTACAGCAATATGCCCCAACATACGAAAGAGAAAAAGCAGGATCCTCAAATACAACACGACGAGCACAAACTGGATCACATTTGATGTAGAGGCTTCGAAAGAGGTGGAGTCTTTCACGTACGTGGGCCGTAACGTTGATAAGCAAGGGGGATCTGATGCGCATTTGAAGTCATGGAGTGACAAAGCAAGGATAGTATTTCGACAATTGTAGAACATATGGAACATAAGACATCTGTCGAATCTTTACTACGATATTGATGACTTGACCCAGTCAGAGTTGGCTACTAGTGCATTGGAGGGATCTAACTGTTAGTCGGATGCGGACTTAAGACAAATTTCACCAAACTACAAGGCCGTCAGCCTCACCTCTAGTTAATACATCAAAAGAAGGAATATGAAGTGCCAATGTGACCTAAGTGGAACGCAATAACTTGTTGAATAATGAACCACACTACAAAGCAAGAAGCTAGCCTCGTTATAGCAGCAAACATGGATGTAGTTATCTGATACCGGAAAACAAGTTGATATTGTTCATGTTTGCTTCGGTCAAACAAGCAATAACATGCCTCGTAGCAGACTGTTTTTGGAGTTTAAAAAATGAAAGAAAAGCAGGGCCTCTCTCAGAAACTGTCTGTTAAGTCGCTAGCAAAAAGTAGGAATGAATTCTAAGTGTTAGATGGTGGTTGAAGGTAGTTGACAGGAAACCCTGGACCCGGGTTTCGTGCTACTTGGCACTCGTCAGCAAGGTGTACCTGTAATCTTAGGGAACTGGTGCTCCCTGGCGGATTCGATCCTGTGTCACCCAGCTTCACAGTCAGAGACGTTACAACTGAGCTATCCGGGCCGTGACCGCCCTCTTGTAAAACTGAGATGTAATCACGATTGATTGATAACTGAGTGGTGATCAATGTCATGTGTGTCCAGTGCAGATCGAAAGCTATCGACCATGAATTCTAAGTGTTCCTCGTGGAAATCTTCCGTTAGTGGAGTACCAAATGGTTTCGACATAGATTCTTTAGTTTTTCATTTTATCCTAATTCATTTCCATACATCTTTAGATTCTCAATGCTACTTTAAATGGATGACATCAAGGTTCTGAAAGAGGTTGCGAATAGACTTGCAGTGGCGGCCAAATTAGATGGCATGCTACTTTTTTCAAATAGCGATTAACGCCCATCAGTACAGCGAAGGATATTCGCATGAACGCTGAAGATATAAATGGAATTAACCACAGTATAGAGGAAGAGTTTGTTTCCTTAATCCTGTCTGGCGGGAAACTAAGGGCAAGAAGCAGTCGCAACCTCGAAACTTGGGCTCATTGAGGTATAGTTGTATCCGAGCGACTCGAAATCCTATGTTCACTACAGTATGTATAACTTTAGTGAGACCGAAGCTTGAAAATCATATTCAGTCTACAAGCCCCTGTTTAGAATGTGGCTCGAATATCTTGTCAAAGTACAGAGGATAGCTGGTCGTTCAATCCAGAATTCTGTGGCTTAGAGTACACAGTATGGCTTGCAGAATTAAACCTTATTAATCATTCCTACCGCAAGTTAGGTTAGCGATTTACTGTTTAAAGGATACTGTAGCAGTAAATAAATCTCAAAGAATAGTTCTAAGTCGTCGAAAGTGATGCTGACCTCACTAGTTTTATCAGAAACGTCCTTAAGTGAAGGTACTCAGTTAAACAGCACTAGAATACGTTTGGGTACGTCGTGCTGTGGATCACTCACAACAACCTGTCAGCTTAAACCACATATTTCTGGACATATCGACTACATTCCAAATATGTCTTCAAAACCATTATTCCTGGCTTCCGATTTGACTGGTTTTGAGAAAGGCTTTGAGGACAATAGAGTTGACATGAACCAAATATCCATGACATGTTTGATTCGAAGAAATGACTCGGACCCTATAAATCATCCCTCCTTCGTTCTGCTAGATCGGGAGAACTCACCGAATACAACATGCTAGTTGTCTGTTAACAGACAACTAGCATCACTTGTTCCTTCTTTTGCAGATAAGTTCACATAACAATGAATTAGCAATTGCATTGGATATGCAAAACAATCGGTGCTTAAGCTTATGCTCTAGTGTTGCACAATAATACGCTTCTCCTTTTAAATAAAATTTTTCAAAAACGTACCGTTTTTCCACTGCATTGCAGATATATTTTGGTCTGTTGTTGAAAATAAGGGCGAACATAGGAGACCTTTGGGGTTCTGTCAGTGGATGGAAAATAGGGTGTTATTTGTGTATTTAGGCGAAAAGTAGACGATTAAGCGTATAAGTAGGCGATTCCGCGGAAATTTAGGCGAAAAGTAGACAATTCGGCAGATATTTATGCAAAATGCGACAATTCAGCGGATATTTAGGCAAAAATTCGACAATTCGGCGGATATTTAGGCGATATGTCGGTAATTTGTCGACAAAACGGCGAAAAAGGGGAAAATCCGCATTACTTCCCCCGGACAGGCGAAAAAGGCGACATTCTGGCGCCTTTTCCCCTTTATTTCCCCTTTCGATACCAAAGCATTTACTCTTTTCTTTCCCCTTCGTTCGCCTTTATTTCCCCTTTTTTGGTTGTCTGGGTTGTCAGAAATCAGTAATAAATATGAATGTTGTAAATATGTAGCTAAGTAAGGCTGTAGTAAAACAACAAGGAGCGAGCACAAAGAAGTCAATCGGTTTCTACAAGTTCGTAGCAAAGGTATTGAGGACTCATATACGGGAGAAAACGGCACTTGAAGTATTGAGCAGCTATTGTGGGGAATTCCATTTGTGCGCTTCGCATAGCGTGGTTGACTTGGGCTATTGCGCGTAGCTGACAGCCAGCGTCAACTTTCTGTGGACAGATGGCCTCGAGCTCTGAGTCAGACATTAGCTCAAGGCGAGTTCTTGTTGCGTAATAAATACCATAATAAGGTTTTTTTGTTGGGGCTATTAATATATATATATATATATATATATATATATATATATATATATATATATATATAAGCATTCTGGAAATTTTACCTGCTTAAGCAGTCGGATGTGTTTCATGTATCATAACAACTAACTTCAATCTGAAGACTTACTAACTCTCTGTCCGAGCGTTTCCAGCTTATTTTTCTTTTAATAAGTTGCACATGTTTCCTTTGTTTGATGGGTATTCAAACACATAATCATGTTCAGGTCTTTTAGTCGTTCGTAATTTTATAACCCTTACTACTCGACTGAACTCTTTTAATTGCTTCAGGGTTTTTATGTGAGTCTGAAAATGATTCATAAATATATTACGCTTGAATTTATGGAAAATCAGTAGATTAATTCAAATTTTTGCGGGTCATGTGTAAAAAACGTTGAATTAGTGGTTTGACTTACCTATCATACATGTGTTTAGAAAAAGAATTTCATTCTCAGTTGAAAGCAAGGAGTCATACTTGACTTTTCGGAATCTTTTGAGGGATAGGCTGCTTTTATCCGTACAACCCACACAACTGTACGTAAATTATAAACGGAGTATTTTCAAGGTTTACACTTATTTTTTATTGCGGTTACTATTCCTTAGTGAGCTTTTATTTCGACCTTTCGTCTGTAAAAACAGACTACTAGTGTAAAGAAAATCCAAACCCTATTTCGATTTGAATTGAAATTTTTTCGCCTTCTAATGAGTTTACAGATTTTCATTATCCATTTATCTAGAATCTAATGTTATTACTGGACCAACTTTAGATGCACTTATTCACCTATCCTCCTTAAACGACAGTCGAGAACTTCACTTCTCGTCAAGTAACCTACCTTATGTTCTTTACCTATATGCTATTAAAATACCAATAAGGTGCTTATATTGTTATTTTGGCTAAATCTAGTGTTGTCCAACCAGTTGAACTAGTTCAGGAAGGAATGATAGATTACATGGTTGAATTGATAGTTACCGAAATGTCTTGGATGCGTTAAAAGTACTATTTACTTATCTAAATACTTTTATCCTTTACAGCTGCTGTGATCAAGAAGTTACACACACAGATACACCGAAGAATAACAAGGGTCCAAAGGTAGAAGATTTTAATTGTTTTTTATCTTAGAGATCCTTTTACTTTAATGATGTCAGCTAACAGTGTTTTGAAAGCTTGGTGTTGGACATTCTTCTGTTCTCTAATCTTGGGTTGTGAAATGAAGACAATAATCCTATGTAATAATGATGCGCATATTTCTGACCAAATTAGATTATCATTTTAAAACTGAACTTAAGTATAAAAGTTTGAGGAAAATATTTGTTTAGTGTTCGTATTTAGCCAACTCAGGATCAAACGAGGGTTCATACTGGTTAGTACTCGTCAACAGAATGCACCTTACTTCTCGTTGGGACTCACCAGCTTTTTTTGACTTATTTCGTCCTGGGAATAACCCATCATAGAACCATGTACGTAATTCAGTCTACGTGTGATAGCAACTGTTGTGATCAAAGACCAATGTGTTTCACTGTGTTAGGTAATACAGTTCTGGACAACTGTACCTGGTTTAGTTGTTGTAGTTACTTCTCAGCCACTAAATTAGAGCCTCAAATGCCCTGGTATCGCTGAGAATGGGGTGGGCTCACCTCCCTCTCGAAATGCTCTCACACGACCACGCGTATACAGCCTATGCCAGGGAAGTCCAACTCACTGCCTTCTCGTGGCCGGGGTGTTGTTTACGATAATAAGAGGACGAAAAGCGAATGTCGGGCGCTTTAACCGGATTCCAAACTAATGGTGCACATGGGCTCCAGTATCCTGTGGGAATAAATGGCGTATGAACCAATCGTTGGTCACCGGCTACCATGGGGCTGCATCTCCTTACGATGCTTCATTGCCTTGTAGGTCAGACCTTTAAGTCAAAGGCTCGGGGAGTGGCCTCCTAAGTAAACCATCCGCTTCGGTCTGGGCACTTGGGCAGTATCACAGCCCTCACACATATCGAATGAGATTTGTGAAGCGCATATGTATTTGGTGCTTCCTTGTACCAATATCTATGTGTTAAAATAAAAAAATCACTAACAGTTGGTTATATGCTGTTAGAATAGAAAGTTCCATGAAAGTGAGAAGAAATCGGCGTGAGAAACGATGTTTTTTCGTCATCTCCGCCTATACCCTGACAGATTGCAGCCCGAATGCAATCAAGGATGAATTCTACCACCAGTTAACTGTTCTTCTCCAGAAGGTGCGTTCGACAGATATTGTAGTACTAGCCGGAGACTTGAATGCTCAGGTCGGGCGTCTAGGCACAGAAGAGAGTCGTTTAGGTGGTCGATGGGGACTTGTTGGTCGCAGGACAGATAACGGAGACCGTCTACTGAGACTGTGCACAGACAACAACCTGTTTCTGGCTAGCACTGACTTCCGGCACAGTCATCGCCGATGTGCCACCTGGCGTCCTCCCTCTTCATCTCAAGACTGGAATCATATTGATCACATTGCGGTTAGCTACCGCTGGTGTGGTTGTGTACAAGATTGCCGCTCCTTTTGGAGTACCTATCTGGACTATGATCATGCCCTGGTCTGCGCCAATCTTACCTTACTTTTCAGTGGCCAACGAAGTGATCTTCACCAAAGGATTGATGCCAGCAAGTTGGTTGCAACTTCTGTTGTAACTAAGTATCGAATCGAGCTAGCTTCTAGGCTAGCTACCATTCCACTGAAAAGTATAGATGAGCATTTGTTGCAACTGTATGACGCCATGAAAATGGCGGGTAAAGCTGCTTGCGGCTTCGCGAAACGTCCCGCTTATAAGCACTGGGTTTCTTCAGGCTCCTTACAACTCATCGAAGCTCGTCGGCCTACTCCGGGTGACCGTGAGTTTGACCACAAACGAAGGATATTGCGTAATGAAATCGGGCAAAGCTTGCGTAAGGACCGAGAAGCCTGGTGGTCGGAGCGTGCTAATGCGCTGGAAGCAGCAGCTGCATCTGGTAACTACCGGAAGCTCTTCCAACTCATCCGAGTCACTGGCAGTAAGAAGTCTGATGTGAGTGAAACAATCTGTGAGGATGACGGGATGCCAATCCCTAACATCCATTGACGTCTTGGACGATGGGCAGAATTCTTCGAAGGGTAGTTCAACTGGCCTGCTTCTCCGGCGACATCGGTCAGACTGTCCTGACCTCCATGCCCGCCGATGGCTGATCCACCAAATGAGGCGAAGTCCGCAAGGAACTCCAACTCTTGAAGCGCTACAAATCACTGAGCCCAGATGACTTACCTCCGGCTCTTTTTAAAGATGGTGGTGACTTTCTGGCTAAGGAACTGACAACGTTGTCCACAAAGTTCTGGGAACTAGAGAGTGTACCAACGTCATGGAATGAGTCGGTAGTTGTCCCTATCTTTAAAAAGGGTTCACGTCGTTCCTGTAACAACTATCGGGGATAAGTCTACTTCCGATTGCGTCCAAGCTATTGGCTTCCGTCATACTTCGTAGGTTGTTCAAACCCCACCTTGAGTATGCGGATGATATTGTCTTACTGTGCAATGATACTCGAGACATACAACCCTCACTAAGTCGGTTGGCAATTAGTGTTCGTAGGCACGGTATGTGATTTGCACCTTGAAGTGCAAAGTACTTCTACAAGACTGACAGGACCCTGAACCTGCACTCAACCTGGGTAGTAAGTAGATAGAAGTAGTCGAGAAGTTCGTGTATCTGGGTAGCTGGATAAGTGCTGGTGGGGGTGTGAGTGATAAGATCAATGCACGAATAATGAAAGCCAGAGCGGCTTATACCAATCTGGACCATCTTTGGCGCCTTCGTGATGTTAGCCTGGCTGTAAGAGGTCGGATCTACAACGCGTCGGTGAGAGCAGTTTTGCTCTGTGCTTGTGAAACCTGGCTTCTCCGAGTTGAGGATATCAGACGACTCTCTGTATTTGGTCATCGTTGTTTCCGAAGGATTGCTGACATCCAGTGGCAACACAATGTTAGTAATGCAGAGATTCGGCATCGTGTGTTCGGGCATAGAGATGATAATGCAGTAGGTGTCATCATCTCGAAACACTGACTTCGGTGGCTTGGACATGTTCTACGAATGTCGTCCCAGAGAGTTCCACGTCGTGCATTATTTGCCGACGCCGGGACTACTGGTTGGAAAACGCGGAGAGGTGGTCAGTGTATGACATGGTGTCGTGGTGTGAAAGAAAGCTGCAAAGAGCTGGTCTGTGTTGGTCCTTCACGACTCCCTGGCTGGGATCCGAGAGATGGTGCAACAGTGGCTAGAGACGTTATCAGATATGGCTCAGAATAGAAGCCAGTAGCGATCCTGCTGCAACCTTCTTTTACTTTCTTCATAAAAAGTGGTTATATTTTCCTTAACTGAAAGAATTCTTCTGGTTGTGCCTTTCCGTTTCCCCCATAATTACTATTATTATTATTGTTACACTATCTTACACTAATCTATTCGTTATTATTCTTTTTTTCTCTCTTCCCATTCTCATTGTTTTGTGTGGCGCATATATATTTGGTGTCCTCTTGTATCAATATTTATGCGTTCAAATAAATAAATTAGAGAATAATGAAATGAAATTTTAACTCTTGATTGAGCGTTAAAGTATAATTGCTTTAACTTTTGAGTCATAACCATGTCATCCGCATGCAGTTTTTCCACGTATGGGCTTACATTTTCACAATCCGTATTGTTAAGAAGGGCTTTTATACATGACATGAACCTCATTGCTCCATTAAATTAATGTGCGGTACAATAAGATACATATTATAGGAGGTTAAAAAAATCACTCCCATCCGCTCCTTTTCTTCACACAAGGTTACATCACAATCTCTAACTTCTACCCATCCACCAACATTTTTTAAGCTCTCAATCCCCTTGTTTCACTAGTTCGTTATCTCGCTGCATGCTTCAAGTTAAACACCGTATCTCTCACCATATTATTATTATAACCATGAAACTAGGTGTCTTTTATATGTAATACGTTCCTTCATTACCACCTGATTAGTTTTCTAAAAACTCTACAGTTCCCAAAAACGTTTCAAATATTGACTTATCACATGTAGATGTTATACAGATGAAGGCCACTCATTGTATCATATGCGTTACTTTTGTAGACCATTAATAACGCCATATACACGTTTAGTTCTATTCGAAACTCGTAAAGGAAACACGTCGAATTATCTGCCGAACCTTTGTCAAAAACTGAATCGACCATTTATTTTTTAATAACAGTGCTATTTGTCAGGCACCGTAAAACCCCCTATTTATTTGACAAATATTTAGTGTAACATTGCTCGTTGCTTTTAGTTATTGTTTTTAATGACGTAATTAATCTTTGGTAGTTTGTAAGTTGGTTGTATGAAAAACATATTCCAGGTCGCTTCCGTTTCTTCTGCTTGGGGGTTGCCGGAACCAGTTCTTCGCGTAGGAAATCGTACTATCTTTACGCATGGACGTCCACCTTGGTATAATGCTGAAGGACAAACTCAACAGCCTTTTGTAATCGGCATATGTGGAGGTAGTGCAAGCGGTAAAACATCTGTTGCCCGCGTAATTATTGAAAGTTTGGATGTACAGTGGGTCAGTTTAATAAGTTTGGACTCATACTACAAGGTTAGTCTAATCCTCAATTCTACATAATTCCAGTAATTAGTTAGGTTAACTTATTTAACAGGAAGTTCGTAATGAGCCATATTCTAATCGTAATGGCTGGTGATATCACTAGGTTGCCCAAACCAAAGTGATTACGGTGGGGTTCGAACCTGGGACCTTGTGTCCAGAGGTCGAACGCTTTTACCACTACGCTGCCCAAACTCATTAGATTTCTGTTTACCATAAGGATCAGAAGTTAGAATATAATTTTATTCATTGAAAATGTTAGTAGTGGGTAAACTTTTACATATTAGTGTAAGAAACTAATAAAATTCAGAAAATAATGAGCAAGTTTTTAAGTTGAAAGTTTGTCTTTCATAAATCAGCAAGTTATGTTATTCTGAGGATTACATCTCAGAAGTTTTGGATTGTCCAGGCTTATCGGCCTGATAAACAAGGACTGTTTGGGTATGTTGAATTGTGTTATAGCGTTGTCCCACTCTGGTTGTTGCGGAGGCTAATTAGGTAAATTGAAGTTATCTTTCATATTATGTTACTTGTTCCAGTCAATAAAAGCTAACCATTATCTCTGATACTATATTTAAACTCATTTTCGTTGAGTTGACGTGCTATAAAATCATATTTGACTATTTCTTTGAAAACGGGAAACAGTAATCATTGTTTGTTTATGATTTTGATAATAGTACAAAGTGGTCGATTAATAACTGTTCATGAGGTCGAATTGCTATTGTACCATACTAACAGTCAAAAAGGGTTAGTTGACTATCAGATTTAATCTTTTATAGGGTCATCAATAATATATGAATGCCAACCTCTTGGAATATATTTTTATTCCCTTGATTTCCTGTAGTTTACTAATGTAACTCATTTGCTATGTGTAGATTCGTGTAGGCGGCTTTTTAGTTGTGGTTTGTAAGGTTTAGTAACACTAGTGATTAGCCCTCACTGAAGTAGACGAACCTAGGTTTTATCCCACAACCTAGTGGTTGAAAGTCAAGTACTTTAACCACCAAGTTACTGTCTCAGTTTGATTTGCTTTCATATAAAATTTTACATAATATCTATCATTTTGTTTGGTGACGTACAGGTATTTGTGTGTAGAAATGAAGTACTTTTGTTTGAGGAATATTTTTCCTCATTATTTGTTTCTTTTATTTTCTCTTTTCCCATGCTAATATATTCTAGGTTCTTACACCAGAGCAAAGACTTCAAGCTATTGCTTGTCATTACAATTTCGATCATCCAAGCGCTTTTGATCTTGATTTATTGGAAAATCATTTACGCAGGTTACGCGACGGTAAAACTATTGAAGTACCTGAATATGATTTTAAAACCCATTCTCGTACTTCTAAAACGGTAAATTGAATTGATGATATTTTCAGGTACAAATGTAATATTTATTTTACCTACAAGTATTTTCCTGTAGTACAGCTAACCCAAAGTGTGCGAATCTATCATTGAAAGAGGTAAAACGTTACATTTAATACCTGTTATTGTTAAAGAACAGGAAATAAGCAAATGCACATTAGAAAGGAAATTAAAACATACCGAACAGATATATTTAATGAATAAACTGTATATAATAGTTATATTCATAGAAATGTTGCTTGTTGATCGGTATTTGAGTAATAACAAGTCGCGCCAAGTTTAGGCTAATTTAGTGTAGCGGGATTTTCGGGAAGTGCAATTTGACTAGTTAATTTAATTAGTTGCGGATATAACTAAAAATGAATGGCGTTATTGATTATGTAGCGTTATTTTACACATGTGCCTCTACAACCAATAAAATTATTGTCGAATGAATGAATTATTCAGAGACAATGAACATGTTTTTGTCTATTGTCATTATTCTAATTGTTTGAAAACGTTTTACCTACCTAAGTACTTCAGATAGGAATGTATTGAAAATGTGAAGCGATTTTTAGACACGGTTAGAGTTTACTGTTTTCTTAGAGAAATGGATACTGTAAGTATATCCGTGTATTTTAGAATCACCTATTTAAAAGTATTTTATATCACGTTTCTGCTAATCGCCTATTGAAATGTTTGAATCTACGTAAACAAAACTTGCAATACTGATATGCTCATGTCTTCAGCTTTTTCCAATCAGAAGATCTAGTTTGTTGATGATTCAAGGTAAATGTATACAATTGATATGTATGTGTACAAAATCGATGACAAGTTGATAGCTATACACTGGAAGATCGATTGTGAATTAATTTATAGGGTCAGGAACACTATTTTTGTAACTAATTGTCTTATCTTAATAATATCTTGGTATCGAGTTTTGTTATGACTACGAGAAAACTGCTACTTACTACTGTATACCTAAAAAAAGACAGATAGTTCTATGTAAAAAGAAAGGCAAGACCACGCATGATGATTTATTTATACATCAACTACAAATCCTCTACAGATCCAACCACTTATTCCAAAATCTTCACCAAAATTACAACATTATATGTGGTCTATTTAACTGGTGAACAACCAAGTCTGAATGCATCGAACTGGAAGCATGTGGTATTAATTAACCAACATTTAATGCATATATAAGATTTACAGTATCAACAGAATAACCCTTAATTAACAAAGATAAATTACCGAGTTACAGTTTTTTCTTCCTGAAGTCCTACTCACTGCTTTCTCTCAGCGGTGTTGTTTACGAAAATGAGGGGACGAGAATTGAATGTCCAGCGCTTTTACCGGATTGGTGGATACGGAGAATCCACCTAGGGGAGTTGGAAAACCTTGATTCAAAAGCAATGGTGCGCATGGGTTCCGGAATCCTGAGGAGATAAATCTATTGTTAACCACCAGCTACTATGAGACTGCATCTCCTTACGTTGCTCCGCTGCTTTGTGGATTAAACTTTAGGGTGTGGCCCCTAAGAAAACCACCTGTTTCGATCTGGGCACCTAAACAGTATTCCAGCCCACACACAAATCAAATGATAATTACTACTGGGAAAATCACTTTTGCCTTAACTCTCATTCAGACAAATCATAATCACAATCATTTAATTACATTCGTTTTCATTTTTATACTAAGTTGCTTATCTACTCCCTTTATTATCCTTTAGTGTATTCTTATTTTTCAACTTATACAACAGCTGGCCTATGGTAAAAACCCTGTCCTATCTAAACGATCTCGAGCCATTGACTAGTCGAATGTTGAATGCTACCACCGACTCCAGACACTGGACCAGTTTTTCTGAAACCACGTATACCATTCAAACTGGCTTCCTTCAACGCTCACACACTAATTCGGGTCGGACAACAGATTGGGTTGGCTTTGTCTTTAAAAATTCTTAACATCGATGTCTGTTGTCTATCCGGGATCCGTATTCAAAACTAGTGGAGTACCACAAATTAGATCTCCATCTGTCACTTCAAAAGGCTTGTTTTACGTGCGCTTATCCGAGGACCCTGTGGTATCTTCGTCTGGTTTTCCTGGCGTTGGTGTCGCACTAAATGCTAGAGCTGAGGCAACACTAATCGACTGGATCCTCATTAACGCGTATATAGCCTCTGCCAGGGAAGTCCAACTCACTGCCTTCTCGTGGCCGGGGTGTTGTTTACGATAATAAGAGGACGAAAAGCGAATGTCGGGCGCTTTAACCGGATTCCAAACTAATGGTGCACATGGGCTCCAGTATCCTGTGGGAATAAATGGCGTATGAACCAATCGTTGGTCACCGGCTACCATGGGGCTGCATCTCCTTACGATGCTTCATTGCCTTGTAGGTCAGACCTTTAAGTCAAAGGCTCGGGGAGTGGCCTCCTAAGTAAACCATCCGCTTCGGTCTGGGCACTTGGGCAGTATCACAGCCCTCACACATATCGAATGAGATTTGTGAAGCGCATATGTATTTGGTGCTTCCTTGTACCAATATCTATGTGTTAAAATAAAAAAATCACTAACAGTTGGTTATATGCTGTTAGAATAGAAAGTTCCATGAAAGTGAGAAGAAATCGGCGTGAGAAACGATGTTTTTTCGTCATCTCCGCCTATACCCTGACAGATTGCAGCCCGAATGCAATCAAGGATGAATTCTACCACCAGTTAACTGTTCTTCTCCAGAAGGTGCGTTCGACAGATATTGTAGTACTAGCCGGAGACTTGAATGCTCAGGTCGGGCGTCTAGGCACAGAAGAGAGTCGTTTAGGTGGTCGATGGGGACTTGTTGGTCGCAGGACAGATAACGGAGACCGTCTACTGAGACTGTGCACAGACAACAACCTGTTTCTGGCTAGCACTGACTTCCGGCACAGTCATCGCCGATGTGCCACCTGGCGTCCTCCCTCTTCATCTCAAGACTGGAATCATATTGATCACATTGCGGTTAGCTACCGCTGGTGTGGTTGTGTACAAGATTGCCGCTCCTTTTGGAGTACCTATCTGGACTATGATCATGCCCTGGTCTGCGCCAATCTTACCTTACTTTTCAGTGGCCAACGAAGTGATCTTCACCAAAGGATTGATGCCAGCAAGTTGGTTGCAACTTCTGTTGTAACTAAGTATCGAATCGAGCTAGCTTCTAGGCTAGCTACCATTCCACTGAAAAGTATAGATGAGCATTTGTTGCAACTGTATGACGCCATGAAAATGGCGGGTAAAGCTGCTTGCGGCTTCGCGAAACGTCCCGCTTATAAGCACTGGGTTTCTTCAGGCTCCTTACAACTCATCGAAGCTCGTCGGCCTACTCCGGGTGACCGTGAGTTTGACCACAAACGAAGGATATTGCGTAATGAAATCGGGCAAAGCTTGCGTAAGGACCGAGAAGCCTGGTGGTCGGAGCGTGCTAATGCGCTGGAAGCAGCAGCTGCATCTGGTAACTACCGGAAGCTCTTCCAACTCATCCGAGTCACTGGCAGTAAGAAGTCTGATGTGAGTGAAACAATCTGTGAGGATGACGGGATGCCAGTCAATAACATCTACCTAGGTCTTGGACTATGTGCAACGTGTGTTCGGCCACAGCGACGATAGTTCAGTTAGTGTCGCTGTCTTGAAACATCGACTTTGGTAACTAAAAGATGTCTTACGAATGTCGTTTGAAAGAATTCCTCGTCATGCATTATTTGCCGATGCTGGGAAGGGTTGGAAAAGTGGAGATTTGGTCAGTGTATGACATGGTATCGTAGTATGAAAGAAAGTTGTACAGGACCGACTAAGGCCCCTGATTGGGGTCCCAAAGATGGTGCAACACAGTGATTAGGGACGTGGCTCAGAATGGAAGCTAGTGGCTATTCTACCATATTTTTTTTACTTCATAAAAATGAGCGTAACTTCTTTAACTGAAAGAATTTTTTGTGGCTATATTTCTGCAGACTGAACTATTTCTCCTATTATTATTATTATTATTATTATTATTATTATTATTATTATTATTATTTCACTCTCATACATTAATTTCTATTCTTTGTTCTCTTTTTTATTATAAACACTTTACATTCTCTCTCTTCACATCCTCGTTGTTGTTGTGTGGCGCATATGTGTTTTGATACCCCCTTGTATCGATGTTTATGCATTCAAATAATCATAATAATTCTTATTCCTGATACTGATGTTTATCGCTCTCACAAACTGAAGAAGTTTACCTCCCTCAGTCCCTACTCAAAAAGTTTTGCTTCAAGCCAAATCCAGAAAATTGATATATGTACTCGTTAGTTTACATCATGCTGCATATAGAAAACAAATTTAACTCCCATTTCTTCTTTCTACTTGAAGCTCTTTATCTTTCAATTCCAATACTTTTGTTAATGCAGTTTATTGATAAGTAAAATAGTTGAGACTTATGTAGCATTAATGAAGGTAATGGTCGTTTTTCAATATCTTTCATGTTGTAGATCTGGTAAGCGGGATTCTTTCGTTTGTTGCACTTAAGGTGAACCCAATTTAAAGTATAATGAATGTAGCATTTTTTTTAATTCGACACACTTAAACACAAGTAAACACTAGTATTCTAGCAAATAGTTTACAGAATAATTCTGAAATGATCGAATTTTATCATCATATGGTAATTGACGTACATTTTACTTTTAAATTCCAATGTTATTCTATCTTTGTGCTCAATAGAATACTGTCTACGGAGCTAATATTATTATCATTGAAGGAATTTTGGTATTCTATTCGCAAGCTGTGGCCAAAGTAATTTCAATCTATTTTCCAAGTTGATCTTGGTTGGTTCTTTTGCGCCTAAATTAACACACCTATTCTTTTTTTGATACTTATAATACTATTTTGTCCTCAGATCTTGTATGGAATTATAAGATATGATCATTTAGTGCTCCTAACTGCACAAAAATGTACTTTTACATCTTTTCATTCTGATTATATTTGGTTTCATCTTACCTTCCCTATCGCCCCCAAACGCCCTGGTACGGCAGAGAGTGGGTAGAGCCAGCTCTCCCTCTCGAAATGCTGTCAAGTGGACACATGCATACAACTACTGCCAACGAAGTCCTACTCACTGCCTTCTCGTGGCGGAGGCGTTCTTTACGAAACTGAGAGGACGAAAAGCGGAAGTCCGGCGCTTTAACCGGATTGGTGGATACGGAGGATCCACCTAGGGGAGTTGGAAAACCCTGGTTCAAAACCAATGGTGTACATGGGCTCCAGGACCCTAAAGGAAACAAATGGCGTATGAACCTATTGTTTGTCACCGGTTACCATGAGACTGCATCTCCTGACGTTGCTCCACTGCCTTGTGGGTCAGACCTTCGGGTCGAAGGCTCCGGGTGTGGCCCCCTAAGAAAACCACCTGCCTCGGCTTGGGGACCTGGGCATTATCCCAGCCCTCACACAGATCGAATGATTTATGTGGCGTATATCTTTTTGGTGCCTTCTTGTACCAATGTTTATGTGTTTAAATAAATAATTAATTAATTAAATAAAATACCTTCCCTATCGGAGCTAATGGATGGAGCTTGTTTCTTTTAACAAACTGAGTTATACTGATTGTAAAACTTATTTTTTTAGGTCCTAAGGTATCAGAATAGTCGGTTGAGTAATGGTATGACTAGGTTGTGAATTCCAAATCCTTGCGGTAGTAGGGTGCTCCGCACGGGCACAGGCAAGGGGGCTAGACAATTTTTCATACAAATGGCACCCACCTTTAGTTCTGTCGTTTCGAGTTTATTAGTACTGTTAAGTATTTAAGTCGAATGTTTACATGATCCATTTAACTTAATAGGTCTTTTCCCTGGTATTTTTTCTACATCTCACTAGCTAATGGATTTGAAGGTATTTGTTGATACAGACGCAGATGAACGCTTATCTCGTCGTCTTCGTCGTGATATTAGTGAACGTGGTAGAGAATTGAATAGCGTACTAGAACAATATATGCGTTTTGTCAAACCTTCCTATGAACAATTTATTGCTCCAAGTATGGCTCAAGCAGATATTATTGTTCCAAGAGGTAAGTATTTTTCTGGATTTTACATTTTTGGTAAGGGATATCCTAGCCATCCATTTTTCAGTTTGAATTCGATAAAATGACTGTCAATTTTATTTTTCAAGTATCCGTCATTATGTCCATCAAAATCTTCACAAGACTAAAATCATAGTTAAAAATTAATGCTAAAGCATTTCGAGTGAATAACTTTTATTCATTACATATCATTTTTTCTAAATATAGGTGGAAAAAATGTTGTCGCTCTGCAACTTATCGTTCAACACATCAATAAACGTTTAAAACAGGTAATTTCTATTATTGGAAAACATGCATATTTCACATTTATGGTTGATGTTTTCTATTTTTGACACGGTAATGTTTCATTATATAGCAGTAATACGTAGATTCACGCTGTTGGGATAAGTTGAACGAAAAGATGTAAAGGAGAACAGTGAGTAGAATAAGTTGAGCAAAACAATTCTACTGTCGAAAAGGGTGCTCAGTTACGTTAGTGGCTCTTAGTTCTGCATCATCATCTGTCTTTTATCACATGAATTTCATTTTGGATTTATAGAAAAGTTCCGGTAAAAACTTATGCTGTCTAAAAAGAACAGGTTCTTAAATTGTACTGGAATTCGCGTGTTCAATGCGTTGTTATGGGAGCAGTTGTAATATATAGCTCAATCGCCGACTAGTTGGTCTATATTCTTTAAACAACCGGCGACCTATTTACTAAATGACAGTGACTAACGAACAACAACCAAGACCCTAACACCTATTGGTCTCGAGATCCTTCCAATCCAGTATCCAATCAGAAAACGAGGATAGGAGGCAGACTAATTATCTTTTGTAGTCTATTCAGTCATGACTCAAAATTCATCAAGTAATATATCTGAGATACCTAAGCATTACTTGCTTACGCCTGTCACTCCCCATGGAGGAGCATAGGCCGCCCACCAGCATTCTCTATCGAACACTGTTCTGAGCAATCCTTTCCAGTTGTTTCCAGTTGCTATTCATCCTTTTAATGTCTGCTTCAGATTCCGGCACAATATGTTCTTTGGCCTTCCTTTTCTATTCAATATATCCTATCCACCTCAGACGTCTTTTCCTAATTTCCTCCTCAGCTGGAACCTGGTTTGTTCTTTCCCACAGTAGGCTGTTGCTGATCGTATCTGGCCAACGGATATTGAATATCTTGCGTAAACAACTGTTTATAAATACTTGTGTCTTTTTGATAATTGTTGTAGTAGCTCTCCACATTTCAGCCCCGTACAGTAAAACTGTCTTGATGCTCATATTGAAGAGTGTGACTTTGATATTTGTTGACAGTTGTTTTGAGTTCTGTATGCTCTTCAACTGTTGGAATGTCGTCCTTGCTCTGGCGATCCTCACCCTTACATCTGCATCCAATACTCCACGTTCATCGATGATGCTATCCAGATACGTAAGTTCCCACAATTTCCAGAGCTTTCCCACTAAGAGTGACTGGGTTAGTGTTTTTTGTGTTGTATTTGAGGATCTTGCTTTTTCTCTTGTGTATGTTGAGGCCTACTGATGCAGAGACTGTCGCTGCACTAGCTGTTTTTACATGTATTTGCTCATGTTATGGGATAGAAGGGCCAGGTCATCTGCGAAGTCGAAATCATCTAGCCACATACAACCTATCACTTGTATTCCGTGCTTCCCCTCAGATGTTGAGGTCTTCATAATCCAGTCAGCCATCAGAAGAAAGAGAAAACACGAGAGTAGGCGGCCTTGTCTGACTCCGGTCCTCACATGGGATGCGTCTGTCAGCTGTCCTTCATGCACAACTTCGCATTGTAGTCCATCGTATGAATTCCGGATGGTGTCTACGATCTTATCAGGTACTCTATAGTGTCGAAGAAGTTCCCATAATGTTCTATCCACACTGTCAAATACTTTCTCATAATCAAGAAAGTTGATGTATAGTGACGAGTTCTATTCAAGTGATTGTTCAACGATGATCCGTAATGTAGCGATTTGGTCTGTGTTTGATCGATCCTTACGGAGTCCAGCCTGTTGATCCTGAAGTTGAGTGTCCACTGAATCTTCCGTTTGGTCCAACAACACAGTTAAAAGGTTCCCCTTGTACTGATAGTAGTGTGATGCCTCTTATGTTCTCACATTTGCTCAGATCTCCTTCCTTTGGTATATTGATGAGGTAGCTTCTTTCCAGTCAGTCGACACTTGTTCTTCCTCCCAAATCTTTTAAATAGAACGTTGAGCATGTTTACAGTTACCCCTGTCTGACTTCAGTGCTTCGACTGGCGTATTGTCTGGTCTTGCCACTCTCCCAATTTTCAGCTGACGGCCACGCGGATCTCCTCGATTCTTGATGTCGCGTGCCGTTTTGATGTCCGGCAGATTCAGTGTGGCTGGTCCATTCAAGAGTTCTTCAAAGTGCTCTACCTACCTGCTCCTTTATTCTTGAATCTTAGTGATTGGTTTGCCTCCTTTTTTCTTGGCTGGTCATTCTGGTTTCCCATACCTTCTTAGCAGTTTCTTCATTGTATTATATAGTTGTCCTAGATTTCCTTCTCTTGCAGCTCTTTCCACTATCGCTGCTAGGTCTTCTACAAATCTCTGCTTGTCAGCTCTAATACTCCTATTCACTTGCTTGTTTGCTTCAGTGTATTTGGTATGTGCCTTGACTTTTTCTGTTCTTGTTCGACTGTTGTTAATTGCTGCCTTCTCGTCCACCCTTTATTGAATCCTGTCCAGGGTTCCAATGGAGATCCATTCATTATGATGATGCTTGTTACGTCCCAGAACCTCCAGACACGTTGAAGTTAGTTCTTTGATCCCTTTCTAGTTATCCTCTACAGTAGTTTCTTCTTTAAGTAGATCTTTTAGGGCTTGGAACCTGTTGACAGTCATCTTGAATTCGTTGAGTTTGTCAGTATCTCGAAGAACGGCTGTGCTTAACTTTTTTAATGCTGCTTCTCCAATTTGCCAGTGTTTCTTTAGCTTCACTTTGATACACGCCATTATCAGGTGGTAGTTTGAAACTATGTCAGCTCCTCTCTTTGTTCTCGCGTCTTCCATTGTCCTTCCAAATCTTTTGTTGAAAAAATTTCGATCAATCTGGTTCTCTAAAGTGTTCCCCAATGAGACCCACCTGACTTTGTTTATACATTTGTGGGGGAATATTGAGCTACTGATAACTGTTTTTCTGAAGACACACAGATTTGCAAATTTCTCATCATTCTCGTTCCTTTCTCCTAGTCCATGTCTTCCCACGATATCTTCATATCAGGTGTTGTCCATTCCGACTTTGGCGTTTAGGTCTGCCATCAGGACGTTCACGACTTTTCTGGACATTTCGCTATGATCGATTGCGGTCCCGAGTAGAACTGATCTTTATCGTCTTCGTTGCTATCATTGATTGGTACATAACACTGGATAACATTCACTGTAATTCCATCCTTCCTTGTTTTGAATGATGCTTTGATAATCCCGGGTCTATGAGATTCCCATCGTACAAGTGCTTTACGTACTTATTTGGACAGCATCACAGCAACTCCGCCTTTAGCCCTTCTAGGGTTACTTCTGGTCTTAAGTTCGGTTAAAAGAGGAGAGTTGTGCATGGGTCAGCAACCCCATCCCGTAGAAAACAACCTTGTTAAAAGACATCAACCAGAATAACCTAACCATACAACAACAAAATTAGGAAATTACAAGGTATAAAAAACTCAGTTATAAGTTTTACAAAATGGGAGTAATTGGGAGTTAACTAGTTTATGAATGACCAATCTGAAACTCAGACAAAAGGTAGTTCATGAATTAAATGAAAGTTAACGAATGGGAGTTTATTATAAAATATCATAATCCAAGCAAGTGTCTGATAATCATACAGTGAAAATATAGACAATAATTTCCTGTACAATTCAACTTTTCATTCTCCTCGATATTTTAACAAAAACAGATGATTTTTTTGGATTTGTAAAAGTCGAAAAATATGATCCAGCGGTCGTATGAATAGTTGATAATATCATGACTTTACTTGTCTTTTAGCGACTCCTGCTTACTTAGTTTTAGGTTTGCGTAAAATATATCTTAGGCGCTTTACTGTCGTAACTTTTGACTGAAGCTGTGTAGTCTAAAGTAATCCAGTATTCTAAAACGTTTCCACCTATTCAAATTGTTATTTTACTAAACAAAAAAAGTAACAATCTTCAAGATTTAAGAAACAAAAGATGAATTTATTTGCAACTTTGTAGTCAATTTGAGGCATATTCTTCGGAGACAAGTATATCGATACAATAATTGGGGATGGTTTGCACTGAACAGATTAACGACGTATGTTATTATCCCCTGCCAGTACCTAGTTGTTTTACCGAATCGAAGCAATATCGGAAAATTACCACCTGACTTATGACTACGAACAATTATTGTCTAACACAAACACAACTGTTCATATGTACTTAGGATTGTAATTGTCGGAAATTTAATCTATTTATGCTGATTAGTCCAACAAAATAATAACTTAATCGGTAGGATCTGGAACATATACCTTAGCTAGTGACGTAACGTGGTTATCTGACTTGCATATTTTGATGACTGAATCTGGCTATATTGGCTGGAACATACGTTCCTTTAACTTCTACTGGAGTGTATGCTGCTTATGTCGACATAAGTAGTATATAGCACCAGTCAGAAGTGGAATGCCTGGCATCAGAAGGTTGGGAAGATGGAATCGAAGAGAACGGGAACAAAGAGTAATTGTTATGGCAATGAAGGAACGATGAAGTTTGAAACAGTTGATGGAGGATTTAAAAATGAAGTATTGAACGTATGGTTTTCACATTTGACCAAAGAACTCTGTAATTTTGTGTTTAAATACATTTGGTTGTCCCCACCTATATTGTCGTTTACAATACCACCATGCCAGCCAAGTCTTTTGGAGAACGGTAAGAATAAAAGCAGCAACTTAGGGCCCGAAGTTTTACTGCTGGGTGTAGAGGGTTAGGAAAGTAGTAATGTGTTTCCTTCGGACGACCGGCATTTGGAGTGATGCTGTCTTCTCATAACGGAAGGAAGGCGTTTGAAAAGGTTGATCCTAGAAATGTCACACCTGACCTTAACCCCACAAATTTCTGTCTCCGGAGGTAAGGCTTTTTGAAGTGCGGAGTTTATACATCGAAAAATTCCCATAAAAAGACCGTGCGCGACTCGCCTCAAGCAGTTGTCCATTGGTCTTTGCGGTCACGCTCCTAGATCTCCAAGACCAACACCAATTTAGCTTGTTTTCCAGTTCTCTCAAGAAGAAATATCCTTCCACAGTGTAAGCAACTGGGAAGTAACAGTCGCCCTCTTATCTGTGTTGGCACCCGAGATTATCTTCTTGGCGATCAAATCCCTTCATCACCTTAATAATTCTCATATCTGTGCGACTAACCTTTCTGGTATATATTTATCATCACGCGGTACTAATGCTAATAATTTGAGTTCACGGAAAATTGTTCCTGTTTTCCTGAGACCACTCTCTAAACTACATGTTCAAATCTTGTGTCAGATAGGACAACAGGCTCCTTTGCTAGGACTCTAGAATCTCACGCTATAAATGTGCGTTGATAATAAGTCTTCTTATTGAAAGCTAGAATCGGTTTCCTAAACTCTCTAGTAACCCCCGGGCTAAATCTACGCAGCAACTCGAATACGACAGAAAAGGCGCGAAATATGGAAGAAAACGCTGTACTCCAGTGGATCGTTCATGTACAGAAAATCTAGGGTATTTATAGCATTTTAGATGGCCTTGGGCTTCCGGAAAATTTTCGAACGCTACTAAATATAGTAGCAGTATAGGTAACCACCCAATCAGAAACGCGACATGTGACTTTTGACTTCCTTAGTATTTCTGGCAAAACTTCTATTGAATGCTGATTGGACAGGATGTTTATCAGCGTTTTAGAGCCTTTTTGGCTTTTTTGAGGAATTTTCTGGATCTTCCCAACATCTTTTTCTCCGAAACGTGCATACAGGATGTGAGTACGGTCATTTATTTGACTTCACCTTGTCAATATAAAGAACCGGTACGACTTCCCCTTTGAGCTTCTAAAGACCTTACTACAACGTCCTGTGGCCTCGGTGGTGTATGTACAGCATTAATTTTTAAAGCAGAACAGGTTCTGTTAGACTCGATTCCAATATATAGTCGCTTGTGCACTGTCCGACTAAACAGGACAATCAGAATTCAAAAAGGTAGGGGTACACTGCGTTATCTCTGCCTATGCTCTCACTGATTGCAATTTGAATGAAGTTAAAGATGGATTTTATGGGGAGCTGTTCAACCTTCTTCAAAAAGCTAAACGCTCTGACTCAGTAATATTGGTAGGTGATTTTACTGTTCAAGTATGTGGACTAAACCAAATCGAAAGGCACTCAAACAAATATTGTGATGTTGCTACTCAACGAGCAGAATGGCGGCCGTCTGAAAAAATTGATATGGCAACTTGAACCGATGTACACACGTACAACGTTCTACGCTGTGAATGAATTGCTGACTGACTGAGACCATATATCATTATGAATTACACAAGATTTCACTTCACCTGTCACCCTGTAATATTGATATTTTATTAGGCCAATTTCTATAAATTTATGTCAGTTGCTTAATAAGATTGAATTATCTATTTATATAGATAAGCTTCAGTGTCTGATAGTGTAAATATATAGTACTTTGTGCTTTATTCTGATAATTTTTTTGTTATTTTCTTTTGGAATTTCAAATGAATCTCATTAATTATTAGCAATCTCTTAATTTCAACTCAAATACTCATCTCAATTCTTGTTTACCATGTTTAAGTGAAACGTTTAATATTTCTTTGTTTCTTATTGACTCTAATCGTTAAATCAGTCGACCTTTAATTCTGTTGTGACTTTATGTCCGACTTTTTATCCCATGATTTATCCACCAATCAAAATACGACTTATAAAATCTTAGCACTGTGCCAAACCAATGACGTCCGACCGGCATGAGCAGCCCAGCGTCCTTATTGGTCCTATGTTCGCCTAGCCCATCCACTTGAGTCCAGAACACCAATACCAGCTCCCACTATGCGAATCATATATTTCAAACATACTGTGTTTATATATCAAACAAACAGACCGCAACGCACCATAAAATAGGAAATAACATTTGCACACAATAAAGCCAAAAAGTGGCTGTGAACGTGGGAGGCAGTAGTTAATAAACTGAGCATAATTTAGGGACAGTAAATCGTATAATAAATTATAGGTCAAAATGAAGCTTATAATAAGAGGAATATAAATATACATAATCTAATTATTGAATAGTTATACCATAATAATGTATCGATAATATTAGTCAATTAATACGTCTCAGAAGTTACTCGTTATCTAATCTTCGCTCGGATATAACAAATTCCAGGGTCACATGTTCGATTTATTTTGTTTTGTTCTGATTGATAATATTATTAACCCTCACATCAGATATGTGATTCAAAGCCATGAGTACGTAAATTTGCACTTAATAAATGAGTGTAGCATTAACTGTTTGTAGTTTGTATTATTAATATGGTATTGCTTATCTTTCATATCAAGTGTGGACTACGAAGCAGACATGAATTCGCTAAATTCCCGTTCATACTTTCTAATGGTGCATTACCAACAGATTCCAATGATACAACTTGGGAGAACAATAATTCAACTGGTGTAAATAATACAGTAGATGATGTTTTTACAATGAACAACCATCTGTATGATAACAAGCAATATACTACTAATGGTACATCTGATAAAGTGTGTCTCCCACCTCAAGTTCATGTATTACCTTCCACACCTCAAAGACTTGGTCTGCATACATTAATTCGTGATCGGAGCACCAATCAAGATGCATTTGTTTTCTATGCCGAACGTTTGATGCGTCCTTTATGTGAAGCTGCAATGAATCTACTTCCGCATATGGCAAGTAATGTTCATAGATAAACAAAATGTCTTAACTTCTAATAAAGTTTTACAGCTATATTTGGATATCCATACCATTTGTTAAGTAGGCACTTTTGAGCTGATATTTGGTGTGCTTATTCTTAGAGACCAGATATTTTTAATCATAAAATTGTGATCAGTGGTTGATGGCTACTGGGATCAATAATTATCGATTACTTTCATGTTGGATGTTTTTATTCCTATATATTCAGTCATAACGAACAGTGTTCAGAGTTCCATGAAAGCATAAACCTTTGACGAAAACTGCTTCTGATGAGCGTAAATGAAAGTATGGGAATTCTTTCGTGGATATCATGCTTTCCAATTTTGGAATGCTGGTTCGCATCGATATCAATCCGAATGATAGAAAGCTAACTGTTGTAGCATGTTTCACACTTTAGTTAATTTCTAAGATTCATCATGGCAAGCTGGATTTTTTTTGCATGGCTTTTTCCTTATCCTATACAACTAATAGCATCGATAAAATATTTCCATTTTGCCATTTGTTAAATAAAGAAGGAACGAATTGAAAAGAAATTTCTTCGCTCAATTCGTTCCTTCTTTATTTGATAAAATATTTGATTGTTTAATAAAGAATGTCTTACTTTATGCTGTATAACTTCATGTGTTCACATCATAACCACTTAGAAGGGTGTACATCATAGATATTTGATCATACGTGTTTTTAAAACATTCCTCGTGTAGAATGAAACGATTAAGGTAGGAGAGCAATGATGATGTTAATTATAAAATATAGGGTAATGGCGATAATCCAATGAATTTTGTTGTGAACTAGTTTATATTGAGGTAATTGTTACGTTTACCACGTCTATATACCTACTGTCTATTTCAGGATACAGTAATCAATAATTGAAGAGTAGATCGTAGAAATATATTCAGCTTTCATTCTTCTCTCAATGTTAAAAACTGTATTATTTTTTGTTTTCAATTCCCCTTTCTCACCGTATTCTTTAATCTCTTTATGGAGTCAATATTTTTTAGATTTCCTCATTTTAACCTTCCCTTTCTCATATAATATGGAGAGCATCAAATTAGATCGGCGTGCATTTGTAATTACGTCTCCACTGTATTTCGTGCATCATTAAAGTGCCTAATTGATTACTTGTATTCTTATGATACTGATAGTGTATTTGTTGTCTCATGAAATTGAAATTGAATATTATACTGTTGTGTCGTCATCATTCACGAAAGAAGTTAGTAATCCTTATTATTTGGAATTATATTTATGAGAAATCGATGGATTAGAAAATAAATTCAAAAAACGTCACAAGCATTATCTGGAGAATTATTCAAAAACAAAGTGCACTGAACAACTCAGTATTCTTCTGTACACCACTTGTTTTATATAGAACGATATCCTGAGATCTTGAAGTTTTCTAGTAAGCAGTTTGCTATTCACCTACTGAATTATATTCCTCCAGTTCACTCGTCTAAATAATCTCATTTTCAAGTCATATGTATATTACGAAACTTATTTACTTTTTTTCCACAAGGATATAGATATCGAGACTCCTCAGGGTATCACTTATCGTGGTCGGAAATTAGCCACTGGCACTCAAATATGTGGTGTATCTATTCTAAGAGCAGGTGAAGTACTTGAACCGGCTTTATGCGCTGTGTGTAAAGATATCCGTTTGGGCAAAATTTTGATACAAACTAATCCAGTCACATCTGAACCTGAATTACACTACATTCGTTTACCTCGAGACATTAAAGTGAGTGCTTCCTTCTTTTTTGTTTGTGCATTAAAATATAATTATCTTAATTTAAGTTATGTAAGATGCAGTTCACTATTTTTTCGTTGAGTTTTTTTAAAATATTTATTAATAATAATAACTGCTCAATAGAGTGGGCAATTAACTAATTGATTGTGAAGGTATCTTGTGGCTGTTTTTAAATATTTAATACTAACCTGAAATGTTTACTATTGAAGATATTTTGTTTGAAGTAGGAATTCGGTCCATGAATATATAATCTAGGGAAGTATAATATCTATGTAATCATAGTTAGTTATGAAGTTGTATATCATATATATTGGAGTTGGGACTATCACCATCACCACTACTACTACTACTGAATAAACTGAACTAACTGACCTGTGTATTCAATAAAAAAAGATCACTTTTTTTGTTTTTTGGCCATTTGTAATACGATTTATTTTGTTTAAACACGAGTCATATAAAGATTTCGAGTACCTCGATGATAATTTCATCATGTATCGTTGAAGAATCATTCTCATAGTATCAAGAAACAGAACCGTCTGGTCTTTTGTTGGCTACTGTTGGTTCTTCAGCTAATTTTAGTCTGTCATAAAAACTGCATCACTTCAAATAATTTTATATATTTGAAGATTTTATTCAAATGGTCTCTCTCAAACGCAAAATGTAGTTCTTACAGAGTATTATTTTACATAGGAATAAATTTTTTTAAGATTGGTAAACTGAGTTTAAGCCTACTTTTGCGGAAGTGACTGTGGTCTTTCCTTACCAGAAGCAGTCAAGTCTTCTGTCACAAAATTAAGAGACAAAAACAAGTTTCATGGTCTGCTAGTGTTGTGTTTGTAAATAAGAAATATACTGTAGATACATTTATAACTCACTTGCATATAAACCTCTTATATAATTATTGCTGAATATTTACAGTAATATGAATCAGTATTATTCGTTAGAGTTTATAATCGGACTTGCCTGTGATTAATTCATAGTGTTCCAATACTAATGCTATAAACATTTTCAGAATTCACAGTAGTTTGGAAAAATGGCTAAGTGATTATAGCAATCATGTTCTGATCATCAAATTGTGATTTTCAACCAAATTCATTCAATTCGGTCTAACTTTTATTCGTAAAGATAATTCTTTCATTATCTAACGAAAAAAACTTGTGTATGAAGAAAATGTTCAAGCTAATTATTGATCGTCATCGTCTATTTATTCAAAGGAAAAACAACAACATTGTCTACAAACTAAAACATTTTGTATTGATAAATACCAGTTAAGTAAATGAAATAACCCTGTGCTTTCATCTAGAATTTATTTTAGTTATAAATATAACGACCTGTATACGTGTGTGTATAGAATGCTGAAAGTGAAAATCATCTAAATATGTGTATTATTTTTTGTCGTCATCCAATTTCTTATAAATTGAATTGGCATATGTGCATTACAAAATCAATCTCATTCTTGTCATTCACTTCATACTCAGTGAATTCGCGATTCATTGTTCCTTTTTTGTAGTATTCATCTAAATCTGTTCTTTTTTTTATAAAGGATTGTTTTGTTATACTCATGGATGCCACTGTGGCTACTGGAGCGGCTGCTATAATGGCTATGCGTATATTAGTGGAACATGATGTACCAGAAGATAAAATTATTCTCATCTCCTTAATAATGGCTAGTCAAGGTGTACATTCTGTTGCTTATACATATCCAAAGGTTAATTGTTAATTCTTTATATTGTACATATTTACTAAATATTTATCAAAATTTATATAGGCATCATAACATTTCATACTCAATTAATAGGGCTTGATTTCATTCAGCTTAACATCATCATTTACTACTGTTGTGTGGGACTTAACTGTTAAGCTATTAATTTATTGGATATCAGTCTACAGTTATTTATAAATAGAAGCACAAATTTTATATTAAACTTCAAGTCACACGTTTTGTATGGCGAGGAAAATTGATGGTGACCCTTATGTTTTAACTGATAGAAGTGATACCTGGTTCAACTTGACACTATCTTATCGTTTCATTAGCTTCCTCTGCGAGAATGATTGTTCTCACGTTGTAGTTCCAAATTTACGAATATTTGTATCAAAACGGTTACAAAGCTAGTAATAGTCAAATTTTGTTGAAAATGAGCTCCAAACAATCCTTATTAAAACTCATATTCATATTTCACTGTTATTTAAGGTAGCATTATTGCTGTTTTCAATGTAATATATATGTAGCATATTGATACTCATTATTCAACAACAAACCCGTTGAACATGAAATTGTTTTTGTCAGATTGCCACGTATACCATCTATATACTAATTTACACAATGTATTTCAATAGTTTTGTCTTTAAAAATTTGTCTACAAATTCAAATCAAGTCTTGTTTCGGATAATTAAAATAACTCATTATGTCATTGAATAAAAATAAAGAGAATTCACTGAAGGAAGTTTGCTTTTCGACGTAATCACTTGGTTGTATATATTCGTGTTTATAATTGTATGGTAAATATATGTATATAGAAGGGTGTAAAAGATTGAGTCATAAAGTTATTCGATAGTCTAAATATCAAATGAGGTTACGCAACAATCAGGGGGTTAATTGAAAATTACTTATTTACACCTGTTGCGCCTCGTGGAGGAGCATAGGCCGGGTAAAAATGAATAGAACGATGGAAATAGTTTACGGGTCAGAATTATGAAAGATAATTGTCCGCTTGACAGGTGTGAAGAAAAACGAAAAACATAAAGGTCGTAATAATAGTTGAATAATTATCATGAACAATTAGTGATAGATACTAATAACTGATTGCAGTTGAAATTACAAAAGAGGTTGGACGTATCGTTTTCGCACACAAAGTTCCGGTTTAAATTGGTGGACCGCCAACACATATAGCTTATTCTCGCTTCCGGACAATCCAATTTACTCATTCTTCTTGAGTCACATTTCGACCTTGTTAATTATTACTTATCAACCTTGACTGTTTTTATATGTGCGTATGTGTGTGCACTTCTTATCACACTCATCACATGTCTATAACTTTTTTGTGTGACTATAAATATCGATTAACGCTTGATTAAACTAAGTTGGTTCACACGCTTTCTCCACTGCGAGAAATTTCGCTTCACTCTTTTCTCTTCGCTTCTCCGAACTTTTGTATGGATCAACGATTGTATGAAATATACGTATTCCTAATTCATTCTCGTATTCTACTTACTTGGTTCCGTTGTTCACCAACGTGATTTAAGTCGATGGTAATGTACGAGGATTGGCGTCATGTATATTTCGATAGCAAGCAATAAAAGATCGAACTGCAGTCACATTACGGGTCACAAAGCGTTTTTATTCGACCTTCCTTCGATCCAGTTCCTTTAATTATGTAGATTAATTTAAAGGAAGACTCCTTCGGAGCCAATCACTTTATGATGTAATCTTTTCTATCCTCTATACGTATTCTATAAATACGAATATACAACCTAAGCAAATGATTTCCTCAAAAAGAAAGTTCTCTTCAGTGAACTCTCCCTATTTTCATTCAAGTCTTGTTTCATTTGACTCGTTCCAACTAGATTTCATATCGTTAGGATGTTACTCATGACGTTTAATAACTTGTTTCCCAGTGATGTTCTGACGTAATTAAAGTATGTCTAGAGCAGTCGGTTCGAACTGTGGTAACACTACTAGTATTCATATAAAACCTGTGATTTATAGCGTGTGTGTTCCAGCAAACAATCGGTTCGTAAAGTAGCCTCTCTAATCTGAGTAATGTGAATACAGTTGGCTCATATTTCTGCACTGATTAAAAAGCAGATTCGATATGAATAAAATCGTCAAAATCTGTTAGTTTAATGCTGTGTATTGATGAGAAAACAACATTAATATCTGGAATCTAGGTTTCATTTTAATTAGCAGTCGTTAGCATGATATATCATCAGTCTTTAGAAATCTCGTGCTTACCATGTTACTTGAATCTGTGTCATCTAGTGATTCCACCGAAAGACATTACTACCGAATTTTTTGAGGCAATATTGACCTCATGAGGCATATATTTAAATCAAAGGGTCAGTAAGTAGTAGTGTATGTTGCGTCTATTTTCCCAAATCATTCTTCACGTCTCTGTATTTAACGCGGAATAATTCAAGTTTGGAGAATTATTTTCCTCTAGACTACAGTGAAATCTTTAACGACATGAATTGCTGGCTGCATTGTAATCTGACTGATAGACTTCAGTCAAATCAATACTGATTCTTACTAGCTGATCAGTTAGTACGTAATATATAATACAAAATTTGTTTTTGTTCTACAAATGCTGGGTTATTAATTTTGTGTGCTCTTTCATTGTCTTGTTTCATTTTATTTATTGTTTCTTTGTTCATATTAGGCTCACATTGTAACTACTGCTGTAGATTCAGGCTTGAATGATAGTTATCACATTGTTCCAGGTGTTGGAAATTTCGGTGATCGCTATTTTGGTACTACTCTGGATCTAGAAACAAGATAATGAATCTAATTGTTTCTTTTCTTCATGACATTCTGCAACACTTTTGCCAATTTGAGTGAGCTTTCTTTTTGTCGTTTACTACTTATATAGTCAGGAACCTTTCTTGTTGGTTTTAGTCTGATTTTTTATTAATTCTTTTCTTTAAAGAGTTTTTGTTTTGTTTTTTCTGACAGATTTGTTCTGGAAATATACTTTCACTACAACACTAGCTTGATATCCTTGTCTAGTCCGCATCTCTATACTTGTTTCATTCATTGCAATTTGTTATACTCTCCTGCATGTAGTTTTGTTATTCCGTCTGACAAATTGATTTATAGTTAGTGTGTCAATTTAATTGAATTCACTGATATCTTTTTGATGTATATTTGTACTTTATTGATTATTTTTGTCTTTTTTTTTACCATATAGTTGTTTTCTTCCCAATTGACAAGGAAGAAGCAAATTTATTTTCTTTGTAATATATGTATGTATTACAAAGAATTTACTTTAATAATATACTAATTATTTATTGTGTACTAAAGGTTTTAATATTTTGTTGTTTAATCTTAATTTTCTTTTACAAATATTTCTGTTATTGTAATACACTGATAATTTCCTACCTTATTCATCCTATTCACTATTTTTCTTTAGAAAAAAAATACGTCTATTTTAGTTTCTACTGTTGCTGTTGACGATGACGATAAAGTTAATGTGAAACATCTTTTTCTATATAAAGTGTGTTCATATGTCATTTTATGTCCTATATGCATATATGAAGCGGTAGCTTGCTTGTTAAAATGCTCGAAATAGTTTGAAGGTTCCAAATCCCTACTCATTGCTTACTTGAGTTTTGGGCTGGCTGCTAGCAATATTAGACCCTATACAATCAGTTTCGCTCAGAGGTAAGTGTATAAATCCGTACTTGCTAAAGAAGCTATAATTAGGCGGTGGCATGCATTTATGATGATTTAGATTTGATTGGGTGGGGAACGTATGTATTGGTGTCGTATCAGGTGACTTCAATCAAAAAGCGATAACCATGAAAAAAACACAATCAGCCCCTAAATGTCTTGAGACGACCGAAGATGAGGAGAGGTCACTCTCCTTCTTGAAATAGGTAGTGAGCAGATAGAAGTAGTCAAGAAGTTCGTGTATCTAGGTAGCTGCATAAGTGCTGTTGGTGGCGTGAGTGGGCCAGAGCAACTCATGCTAATCCAGCATATCTTTGGCGCCTTTGTGATGTTAGTCTGACTGTAAAAGGTCGGATCTACAACATGTCTGTAAGAACAGTTTTGGTCTATGCCTATGAAATCTGACCTCTCTGAGGATGTTAGACCACTTTGTATTTAGTCGTCGTTGTCACCGAAGGATTGCCGACACTCAGTGGGAACACTATGTTAGTAATGCAGAGGTTCGGTATCGTGTGTTTGGGCACAGCGACGATAATTCAATTGGTATCACTATCTTGAAACATCGAATTCGGTGGCTTAAATGTGTCTTACGAATGTCTTTTCGGAGAATTCCACGTCATGCATTATTTACCGACGCTGGGAAGGGTTGGAAAAGCAGAGAGGTGGCCAATGTATGTTATGGTATCATGGTATGGAAGAAAGCTGTACAGAACTGGCATCTGTTGTTCCTTCACGACTCCCTGGTTAGGCTCCTAGAGATGGTGCAACACTGACTAGGGACGTGGCTCAGAACGGAAGCCAGTGGTTATTCCGCTATAATTTTCTTTTACTTCATAAAAGTGAACGTAACTTTAACTGGAAGGATTCTTTTTGGTTATATTTCTGCTAACTGAACTATTTCTCCTATTAATATTATTATGTTGCTATTATTATTATCATTATGATTAGTATTGTCATTACTATTGTTATTATTGGCATTATTATTACTGTTATTATTATTGTAATATTATTATCGTTACTATTATTATTATTATTGTTATTATTATTATTTCACTCTCATACACTAATGTCTATTCTTTGTTCTCCTTATTATAAACGCATTACATTCTCTCTCTTCCCATCCTCATTTGTTGTTGTATGGCGCATATGTATTTAGTGCCTTTTTTACAATATTTATGTGTCCAAATAAATAACTAAGAAAATTATTACTCTCAATAATAGGAAGCTCATAGTTATGTTAAAATCTTGTAGTTTATAGTGCGAGTTCACTATAGTTGATTAATCATTGAAAATCAGAAAGCACTGGACAGTTATATCGTTCTAGTTCGGCGCTCTGTCAGTTTGAAAGTTAAGTGCTCACTTCAAGGCCTAAGAGTCCCAGATACATACTACTGAGTAGTCCCATAACAGGATGGAATAGACATCCAGTGCTTTTTGGATTTTACTGGTTGTTTAGCTAAAGTTAACCAGTGGTGTAAAGTACGAAATTTCATAAACTCCCTATTTGAATAAAAATATAAATCTGTTTTTGCCATATATGTAAACCCAGAAAATCTTTATTTTCGGAAATTGTGGATTTCTGTGTTTTGCCCATAGAATTTCTTGATTTTAAACTGTTTGAGCATTTAAGTAGTTTCCGTCTAATTACAATACTAAAGATATACTAGAATTCTTGTTTTACTGCATCAAGGTTACCAGAAGAATTAGTGGTGTCTTTATTCGGTATTTTCATAAGATGTAAAGGAATACTGAATTTAAGCTAGGCTAATATTATTTAATCGTCTTATGGTTATTGAATATGTATTTACGGCAGAGATATGATTGTAAGTTGCATGTTCTGTGCTGGATGTTTACGCTGAGGACGTTTATATGGAAAACTAGAAATTCACGATGTCATTCTGATCAGCGAACACTACATCACTAAAACATTCCCATTATATCAAAACTTGACTTATTTGTTAAGAGATGTAATGAAAGTGAGGTGATCGCTTTAGGACTTAGTATTTACTGTGCATATGGCTTTTAATCACTAGGCTTCATACTATTACTCCACTCCATATACTTCGGTTTAAATGAACGGTTGATATCATTAACCCATGTAAAGTGTATAACTCGAAATTAAGCATATAAATATGCCTGAGTTATATTATAATAATAATAATTGGTTAAAGGCTGTATTAATTTAGTTGTTTGAAAACATGGTCTGTTTAAATCACAATGGAATAAATATCGGAGTAAAAAACAACTGACCTGTTGGAATATATACACATATTTCTAATCGGTTTTATCATTATTCGAGACTTTCGTGAGAGTCGAGTTTTATGGACTTGGGTCACAAATGAAATTTCGATAATGTGGTAAACAAGTCTGCATAATATTTCATCATCTATGTCATGTTTTTTTCCTTAATCATATTCGATCGTTGAATTAAGTAGCTTGGCCACTGGTAAAGCAATTCGACTGAATTCCACTTGGTGGCTAGATGATGATTAGTGCGAAAACACATTTCTCTTGAGGATGAACGTCTGTCAGCGCGAAATCAATGCTCAGAACTTCTTTGTCAACTATCTTTCATTTCCTAGTATAAACAAAGCAGAGTGGAAATTGTAAGTGGGAAAGAAAATATTTTGAATCAGACTTTATATCCAATTTAAAAAAATCAGAACTTAAATCCTCAGTAACTATAATATTAGTGTACTAGAAATGCGCATAAGATAGATTTCCATGTTAGCGGAAATCAATCGGAATTGAGCGTGTACTTTTCATTAAAAGTAAAATAATCTACGCAGCTAAGAAAATCTGTAATTGATTGTGGGTTGAGAATTCTTGTTGTTTCGAGCTACCTATATGTCTAATAGTATACAAATTCTACGTAGAAAAAAACCTAACAGACGTTAGGCATCAGTTGGAAAACCACTGAAACTTGAGTTTTTGAATAACCCAAATATTACAGGTGATGGAACTGGATAATAGTCAGATTATTATCACAAATCAACTAAACTTGAAAATGTAGAATAACATATTATGATTAATATCAACTTGTGATGAAATAACATCTGTGATATCTGTTTTAATCTCGATATAGTTGGACTTCATCAATCATGGCTTCTTATTAAGACTTCCACGATTCTTTTTGTTTATAATTATGTTGAGATAACATGCTGATTTGACCGATAAAAATAAATAATTTAAAATAAGAATCAGTCATCTCATAGTAGATCACTAACATGCACTCGTTTTATAGCCATATAAAGTAACTCTTCTATTTGAAAAAGCTTCACTCCTTATCTGTTTTACAGTCGAGTACAAATAAACATATTCCATAAATAATTTGTTCTATAACTGATTTATAGACAGTTATTTCGGAAACTACTAAAGCTGTGCGATGAAAGGAAAAATACAATGCGAAGCCATACGATGTTCAGAGTTTTAGAAGTTCTTCATAAATTAGAAGTATTTGGAAATTAAAGACGAGTTGGTCTCCTGGTCGATATATCAGCTAGGTAGTCTGTTTGTTCACCGATCAGCTTCTACAATGTTATTTAGACTGTCAATTTCTTCTGAGCCAATGGAAACCAGCCTAATCCACTATTTAATAAAATTTCATACAGAAAAAATGTCTATAAATTCTAGCATTTAATATTTAAACCTTTCAGTACTATGCAGTTATTTATAAGGTTGGATAATTATCACAAAAATATGAATAATCCTTTTGAGAACTGCCAGCAAAAAATTCTTTCATTAAATTTTGCCATGCACTTACCCGACTGTCAAATAATAACATGAATGAATTATTAATATAAACCGTTCTGAAAATATTCCTATATAGTTTGTTCCTATGGATGTTTTAGAACAAGTCATACAACTTTAAGCAGTCCGTCAAAATAATCATTAATCAGTGAATTTAGGTTGAACTTGACTATGTGAGGTTGGAATAAATGTCAGAGACCGAAATGACCGTTAACTACAAACTGTTGTTACTATTTACCTTCGTATACTTCTTTGACATGTGATGGTAAATCTAAAAAATCAAGATTACAGATTATCACATATATAGTAACAACTGTGACAAATTGCCTTGTTCACATAAGGATGAATAGGATAATTGGATAAAAATCGGATTTAAGAGCAGAAGCCTCTGCGTTTCTGAGCCGATCAGTTATATTTCGAGAAAACAAGAGAATTCTTTTATTCTATCCGACCTTGAGTGGGTGCATTCGGGTAAATCGTACAAGATTCGTAGTTCAGTTAGTAAAAAGCAGCATCAAGCATCAGTTGTAACGTAACTCATCATTTTAAATCTCTTAAATTTTGTACAAATTATGGTCAAAATATATTATTGACTTTTGGCTAGTTTAAGATGTGACTGTCCACCGAGAGAAGACCGACAAATACTAAGTATATAGGTTAAAGGTTGATTCTACTATATTTTCATTCAGACCTCACATGAGGTAACTGCTCTGCATTTTGGGTTAGTAAACTGGGATTCTGATCTAATGAGTGGTTCTCAATTGTAAGTGGGAAATTGTGTACCGAATTACCATGTAACATTATAGTGGCCTAATTATCTCGCATCGTGGCCTAGTGCTTCCAGTTTTATCATCTAATCTAGAACAGGTGCATAAATCGTATTGTATCACCATGTCGATTATAAATTGAGCTCAAATTCTTCATTATTTTATTGTCACAACAGTTTTCTTCGGAACAAATTTCTTTACAATGTTTTTGAATAAATCGGCTTAGAAAACGTCAACATTTCATGTTTATTATTAGTGCTTATACGAAATCATTTTGATAGAGACGGCCGTCTGCCTGAATATGTAGGCTACCTGTTTCTGCCATCTAATTATTTCAACAAGTTATCTTTTTTCA